TTAATTATGTCATGCGTTGCATAATTATATATAACAATGATACATTTTTTGGGAAGAAATCGGAGTCTCACTGCTTCGTTATTTTTGTATCGCGTGATAATTAATTAGATACTATTTTATCGAAATGATAATTACGCTTCTTCCACTTTAAAGATATGATTCTTAAAATCATAAAATTTTTGACGACATTCTTGTAAAAAGTATATTTGTCGCAATTTTAAATATTATAATTTACTTACAAAATATTTGCTATTACAATCCTACAAATATAAACTTGTAGTTTCAATTATACTAAGGAAATATGTCGCACAAATCGTTAAAAATTGCATCTTTACAATCATATTATGTTTGATAAATATAATAATTAACTCTGTGTTAAAAGTGTTATTATATGACACTTCATAAGGCAAGGTTTTAAAATATAAAACTCTGTACCTCGATACGTTAATTTTCATCATAGTTTTGATTATATTTAATTAATAAATTCTTATTTCTAATCGTACAAACAAGTACCGATGACATCCGCATGACGTTCGATTTATCTTTTTTAATAGATCATAAGTGGTATGGTTCATATTTTTATTAAACCCGAATAAATAAATATGTCGCGTTTTAATACTTACTTACAAGCTACATGTATTCCATCAACGTCTTTGATTGGTTTTGGTACCAATTAATCGGTAAAATCAGTTTGTAGTAATAATAATAATTTTAGTAATTGTCATATTGCCAATTAATATCAATAATAGCAATATTAATAATAATAGCACTAATAATTTTTTTGGCTGTATAGGAATTAGGAATACGAAATTGGATTAGAATTTAATGTTTATTTAATAACAACAATAATGAAAGATATTTAATGCTTCTAATTTAATTAATTAATAAGATGTAATTGGACGATGATGAATACATCCAGCATACAGATTTTAATATTATTCACTCATGATTTCATTACAAGATTTCCGTTAAATACTCTTTCTTGATGCAATTTTACATCAAAAATATTTACTGCACAAATTAACTTATGATTTATTAAATACGTTAATGTAATAATGATGGCAAATAGATCTGAAAAACTGAATTATATTGCGATCAAACATTTTAAATTTGACAGATCATTTCATCAATTTTTTATACTGCTTTTTGTACGCTGCATTAATAACTACGTAGCAAAAAGACTAAAAGATAAAAACTTTTAATACTAGAATTTTTAGAATTCGGTAAAATAATATTTTTTTATATTTTACTAATAAAATATAAAAAATGCATATGTTTTATATTATAACATATGAATATAAAAAATTGAAGTATGTGGTTTAAATTATATACTTTAATATAATTGTTAATATGAAAAAATATATATGTATTGTATAAATATATTTTATTACTAAAGCTAATCGGAACACATACAATGATATAAATAGCATCAATTATCTACGTGGAAATCCCAGAAAGGATGAGTAAACAGTTAAGCAGAATAATTAAATTTTTTATATGTAAAAGTGTAAATGCAATACGAATAAAAAATCGATCACTTATTACATATACGCAAGTATAGAGGCTCGTATTTACATGTCATCCGGCATTAACGATGAAAGTTGTCGTTAGGTGCCGTTAAGTTTAGCTTCATATTTATCCAATCCGCGGCGGCAAGTACTCACGATCAGGCTTTGCTGGTCCTTGCGGTGGAAACGGCGAACCTGTCTCGGGTTTTCCAGGGATACCTCCTGGCCCGGAAGGCCCACTTGGGAATGCTGGACCACTTGGTCTACCGCTGGGATATCCATTTAGACTACTACCAGGTCCTTGCTGACGACCTGGTGCACCCGGGAAGCTTGGACCTTGTGGACCAGTGGGTCCTTGAGGTTGTCCTGGATATCCTGGAGATGGTCCACTTGGTTCTGGATATCCCGGACCACTAGGTCCTTGAGGTCTCGACGTTGGTCCAGTAGGTCCTTGAGGTCTTCCAGGATATCCTGGTCCACTTGGCCCTTGAGGTCCTTGAGGACCTGATGGTCCTGATGGCGGACCTAAATATCCAGAACTTGGTCGTCCCGATGGACCTTGCGATCCCGGACCGGACGGAGCTCCCGGTCTTCCTGGATAACCTGGACCGCCAGGCCTTGACGGACCTTGAGGTCCCGATGGACCTTGAAGTCCCGATGGACCTTGAGGTCCCGATGGACCTTGAGGTCCCGATGGACCTTGAGGTCCCTCTGCTGGATAACCTGGACCGCTGGGACGTTGTGGACCTCCTGGATAACTTGGACCAGTAGGAGCGCCTGGACCTCCTGGATAACTGGGACCACTAGGAGCTCCTGGACCTCCCGGATAACTCGGACCACTAGGAGCGCCTGGACCTCCTGGATAACTGGGACCACTAGGAGCGCCTGGACCTCCTGGATAACTTGGACCAGTAGGAGCGCCTGGGCCTCTTGGATAAATGGGACCACTAGGAGCGCCTGGACCTCCTGGATAACTTGGACCACCTGGGCCACTAGGAGCACCTGGACCTCCTGGATAAGTACTAGGCCTAGAAGGTCCTGCAGGTCCTTGACCTTGTGCTCCCATTATAGTGTAGTCATAGATATTTTCATTTAAATAGTAAAGGCTTGGCGCGGAGTTACATTCAAATTGATTCCACCATACACAAACGAAAAATTGTTGATGGAAAATTGTTCCGTTTGGACAAAGGAAATCGTAGGTCTTATTGTTGGCACATATGTGAAAAACTTGGCACTGGGCTTCCACGTCGGCATAGTAACCAGGGAATTGTTGGGCATCGCAACGGAAACTGGTCTCCGGAATTTCACTATATATAGGATAATCGCGACCAGGTTCGCCCGGAATAGCTGAATAATCACCTTCGTCGTATGTTCCCTCATCTTCATGTGTATATTCGGCAGGTCCGCCAGGACCTACTGGATGACCAGTTCCCGGGAATCCTGGTGCTTGTGGGCCTGGTCCACCTGGGAATCCTCCTGGTCCTTGCGGGCCTGGTGCTTGCGGGCCTGGTCTACCTGGGAATCCTCCTGGTCCTTGCGGGCCTGGTGCTTGCGGGCCTGGTCCACCTGGAAATCCTCCTGGTGCTTGCGGACCTGGTCCGCCTGGGAATCCTCCTGGTCTTTGCGGGCCTGGCCCACCTGGAAATTCTCCTGGTCCTTGCGGGCCTGGTGCTTGCGGGCCTGGCCCACTTGGGAATCCTCCTGGTCTTTGTGGGCCTGGTCCTTGCAAGCCTGGTTCACCTGGGAATCCTCCTGGTCCTTGCGGACCTGGTCCGCCTGGGAATCCTCCTGGTCCTTGCGGACCTGGCCCACCTGGAAATCCTCCTGGTCCTTGCGGGCCTGGTCCACCCGGAAATCCTCCTGGTCCTTGCGGACCTGGACCGCCTGGATAACCTCCTGGTCTTTGTGCTCCTGGTCTACCACTAGGATAGCCGCTGGTAGAGGGTCCACCTTGTGGACCAGGACCACTAGGTGGTCTTTGAGTACCTCCAGGGTAGCCAGCTCCTGGCTCTCCACTAGGATATCCACTTTCCGGGCCACTAGGCTTCTGTGCTTCACCGGGATAACCTCCAGGAGCTTGACCGCTAGGATATCTTCCACTTGGTCCTTGTCCACCCGGTCGATCAGTGGGATATCCAGGACCTGGTTTTCCCTGGCCGGGCCCACCACTCGGGTATCCGGAAGGTCTTTGCCCACTTGGAAATCCACCTGGTCCTTGCGCACCAGGTCTGCCACTAGGATATCCACCACTTGGCCCTGTTGGAAACCCTTCTGGTCCACTTGGTCCACTCGGTATACCGGGACTCGTTCCTGGCCTTCCTGTTGATTCACCACTCGGAAATGGAATCGATGGTCGTCCACTAGGATATCCCTCCGAAGGTCCTGGACCTGATGGAAAGCTAGGCTGTTGTCTCCCTGGTTGAGCACCGCCTGGGCGTCCTGGAAATCCCGGTGGTCCCGATGGATAACCACCTGGTCTTCCAGGTTGTCCACCAGGAGTTCCTCGTTCTCCTGGACCACCAGAAGGATATCCTCCCGGAGCAGTTGGAAATCCTCCTGGTTTGCCAGTTTCTCCTCCTGAAGTACCTGGTATAAGTTGGTTTGTCGGTCTAGGGTAATTATATCCCTCGTCATCAGCCTGTAATATTAATTATAACGTATAGAAGATGTCGACTAACTTAGAAATAGAATCGATAAGAAACGTAAATTTTTTGTGTAGAAACAAGAAAAAAAAAATAATTTTTGCTTAGAAAATTAACTTCTAATAATTTTTGTATAAATTTTAAGAAATTAAACTTATTATCGCGAATTATTTAATATAAAAGGTAAATAATGTTTTAATTATAATATAAATAATACAAATAATACATATTTATACTCATATATAATCTGATTTAAATACGTTTATTATATTTAATATCATTTCAGTATTAGTTGAAATTACTCTTGAACGGTTAATTATATCAGATTTATAGATTCCGGCATCGTTAGAATCGTGCTTATAGAAAAGTCTGAAGGAGAGCGTCTTCTCGCTCCTCGATCATTGTGATCGTTGTGAAGTTACAACAGTCACGACTGATTAATATGAGAGTGCTTATAAAGTTGCGCAACTAAAAATACTGTTTCATAAGGTGGGAAAGAAGACGTAAAGAGATGTGTTGATCGCGAAAAATTAAAATGATTACATCGCATTGATTTATATCGACTTTAACGTACCGCTTTTATGATGGAGATTAAAGAAAGTTAAAAAAAACAGCATTTATAAATAAAGTAAATTAATTGTAAAAAATTGCGAATTATGTTAAGAGATATATTATGTGAATACTTTATTTTGACGTAATCTATAGTTAAGAATTACTTACCAAAGCTGTACGAGTGACAGCCAGCAAGACTGAAACAAATCAAACAAGACTATATTATTTTTTTTCGAGTGACCTTGACAAATTGCAATTTTTTTTATCGGACATAATTGTTACAACACGCGCGTTACAAATCCATCAAAGAAAGAATTTTGGTTATGACATCAATTATCTCGAGTGCTAACGGCTGTGTGCCGCCGATGCCGCCTCCAGTAACAGCCGCAATTCGTCGCGATGGCGAGAGGTTGCGTGCGAATCTCACAGAAGAGAAATGTGTCTTGAAAAATCTCTGACATAACTTCCCGTCTAATTAATTAAGGAGCATTGTCGAGCGCGCTCAGAGCGTAGGCACGGAGAAGTTACGGGTTCTTCGCACGCTTGCCCGTACATAAATAGCATCAAAAAAAATGAAGAGGGATAAACGCAGAAGAAAAGATCGCGCGTGCAGAAGAGAGAGAAGGAGAAGCGAACAGTACGAACAAACTGCACGAGTGCGTGTGGTGTGTTACACGAGAATTGTGAAGACCGTGCACGTTTTCGCAATGACACCGGTTCGCGGATCACGCAAGCTACTTGTTAAGCAGATACAGAACTCTGGTTCTTGGGCATACAAGAAGATTCAAATGGTAATCTCTTGTAAACTTTATGAAGTGATGTTCTCAAATAATACTTATTTATTTCGATTACGCATAAGAAGCGCGTGCGATTAGAAAGAAAATATTTCAGCACTGCTTTCTTTAAATTTCCACATATAATCTTATTTGCAAATTATAAAGTATACTTTATTGAAAAATATATTTAATTTCTTTATATAATAGCATTAAGCAAAAGCGAATTCAAAAACTTCTCAAGATAGCGGCCATTGGCAGATTTGTATGCTATTGGGTTGCCGAGTTTCTCCAATATCATGTTTTGCCAATAATAAAAAAAAAAGGAAAATTTCCACAGTTTCCATGTTTCCATTTTTCCGTTCTTATTTTTTATCGTACGCATCGCAAGCGAAAATTTTTTTCGTTCGTGACGGACAAAAAATAAAAGCCGCAGCATAGACTTTTTGCACAATGCTGCATAACGCGATGTTTACAATATGATAGTAAGCCTTAAACTATAAGAATCTAGGAGTTTCTTAAATTAAAAAATATTTTTGGAATATCAAAATTGTGATTAAGCATTTCAGAAATTTTAAAAGTATATATAATATTTTGCTATAAATATTTTTAAGAAAGAAGATATTCAAGACAAGAGCCGTGGCCCCCATGGCCTTTATGGGGACCATGACTCTGCCTCTGATTGAAAATAGATTCGGAGATTATTATACGCAAGTAACAAAATAAATTATACAAATTTTGATTAAATTTTCCTCTTGTCGCGATGAATATCGTTTTCAACGAATAACTGTAATTATCAAACGATTCAAACGTCAATAATGCCTTAGGCGTTGACGTTGATAAATTAAGCTCTAATGGTGACTTTACTTCGACGTAGACTAATAGGTGAAACTTAGCAAATACGATTGACCTCTATGGCTTAAATAAGATCGTTGTTATAGCGGGTCATGGATATTTTAGAAAATTACTCTAGTCAGATTAAATATAAATTTTATTTCCAAACCCAATAATTTATCAACCGAAATTTAATTTTGAATTAGCTTTGTATTTTTTATTTATATACTTATAAAATTGAATCAATTTTTTGAATTAATAGAAGTAAGTCTAATAAAAGCTAGTTTAAAATTAGCCAATATCAGGTTTATCCAAGACAATAATTCATAAATCTTATATTAAATTGCTAATAAAATTGTATTTTAAAATTAATTATGTATAGAAATATAAATGACATATTTAATAGCAACGCTTTTTTTTCTAGTGATTTCCGGTTTTAATGGGCTATATTACTGAATAGGACTAAAAGCACAAAAACCTGTTTGAATAGTTACGATCATCGTGAGCGACGTGTGAGAATTTCTTTCCATATTTTAGTGTAATAATAATTTTGCAGATCTTTTTCTTTCATCCTCTATACGTTATTTATTTCCATACCACGCATAATTTGGCCAAAAGGCTATTTCAAGCAATAGTATCGCATACCATTATTCGTACACCTTCCTGTTGTCGGTTGATAGCTTCGGTTTTGGTTACCTCGAAACAATGGGGCGGAGATCAAGATGGCCGAACCTCGCGTGATCTACGAAGATAATCCGAGCACGATACTCGATGCATCGTTTGAGAGAATCTTTGACCGTTACGTGGTTACACTAGTGTTGCACGATCGTCAGAGTATTGACGTAACTTGCCCGAAGGGAAGCCGTAACGGAAACGGCTTAACCCATCTTAGGCTATATTTCCTCGGACTACGAATTTTTCTTATCTCTAGTGTATCTCCCAGTATCTCCGCCCCAAAAAGTTACGTTTACTTTATGCCAATGTAACGTAATTACATTATAGCAGCACGTTAAAAAAATCTCTTTTAATTACCTTCAATTAGTCTCTCTTTACTATACAGTTACTATAATTCAAATATAAAGAAACTGCGATAATTCATACTTCATAGTTTGACTTTGAAATTAGAAAAGTTCAGCTTGTTTCCAAATTATTCTTTTCTTTGACTTTCCAAGCGCTCGCCTTTTTCATAGATTTACGATCTTGAACGGTGCCTGTTCTTAAGATTCGTAAGAAGCAAAGCGAGAGAAGTTGCGCTAACACGGTACGCTGCATACACTTGACCTTTATTTTAAGTGCGGATGATTGTAAGCGTAAATGGTGACCCCGTAATACGTAAAAGTGCGTTGGAACAATACCAGCCCACGGCGCGCTGGCTTATCTCTAATTCATTTTAATTAGAGGATGTTACGAAAAAATATCGTAGACCTTGCGTGAAGGTTCCATCGAAATTTAAAACTTGTTTGGACTGTAATATCGTAATCGAATCATAAAAAACGTACGTATTACGGCATTTAATTCTATTAGACATTACTTGATCAAAAAAATAAATCGTTTCAAGAAATAAAATTTCTTTATAACAGCTCATACTTAAAAGTTAGTACATATTTTAAGATATTTGTCTTCATTTGCTATACAAATTATAATCACGATAATTACGAATTGTGCTCATAATATGTTTTTAGAGTTTGAAATTACACTTAGAGACAGAAAGTTGAATAAAAATTAAAAATAAAATAAGAACTTTTTTTAAAAAAAGCAAATATTATTTTTAAATATATATATAAGAATATTCAAAAATAAATATATTTATTGGAAAATTTTTATTTTTATCACATGTTTGTGACTGATGATCGCGCACTCATGAAGTTTTTCTGCCTTTTTATATCTTTCTGATGTGATTTGCAGTCGTTACACGGACAAGAGACATTGTCATAGAATGCCATACCGATTGCGTGGTGCATAATGGCGCGTATGAGAACTTATACGGTACGATAATTCGATGAACGGAAGGTGTAAGTTAGTGTAGGATTGCTTAACAATTGCTTGGAAACTTTTCATCTCCTTCGATTATTGAGACGAAGGTTATACTTGACGTTGAGACACGTCACAAATTGCGAACTTTCTTTTCTCTATCCACGACACTGCAATCTCTGCTAATCTTTCTGTTTTCTCCAGAGGAAAACCGACGGATATTGCCGCGACGTTTCTTGCGTCGCTTTTTGTTAGCTCTTCCCATGTGCTTGATGATGTGCTAACGTAACAACCCGGTTACTACATTAGATGATTATACGAAGTGAAGCCATGCGATGAACCCAATATCTTGAACCAATATCACTTTTATCTTACCGATCCAGAGCAAGCGTAACCGCATATTTGCTGGCGCAAGCACCCTCAAGGAGTGGGCGAGTCTGAAAAGATAGTGCAATCGATTGATCTGTTTCATACATTTATATATGTAGTTAGTTTATGTAGAAAGATATTTAAAAAGGTGGACATTAAAACTTTGGAACTTGCAGTGATTTGCAATAATTTCAAAAGTTATATGCCGTCTGTTTATATAAATAAATTTTATTTGATGAGATATGATATGCTGTTTATTGTTAAAAATGCAATTTATTTGCTAAAATACGTATAACTTTTCTGCCAACAAAGTTTCGAATCATCAAGTATTTTTTAAATAATAAAATTTTATTTGATATGTATTTCGCAGTTTGTTGCTAAAAATGTAAGTTATTTCTCTCGTTAAAATATGGATGATATTTCTGCTAAAAACGCTTTTACAATTTTTTTAATAATGAAATTTCAGTACATTTATATTACTCACATTGATTGATTTTAACATTAAATTAAAACAAGTAAGCGAATGATAGAGAGTCCCAAAGAACTGAAATTAATTAATATATCTTTCTGTGTATAATATAGAAATTTTATTAAAATCTTAAATACGTATAGAAATTTAGTGTGATATTGTTATAATATTAAAAAGAAAAAATTTTGATATTTTATATGTCCCTCGCGTTATAAATTAACACGAAACATTGATAAGCATATACGCCTACTCTGCTATAACTACTGCTATAACTTACATCACTCCCTTGTGTACACGAAGGGTTAAGGTATTAAACATATTAACAAGAAAATGGAACTCCAAGATACGCTCGAATGGAAATCACTGACCGTGTTGCTTTAATGCACTGCGTTCGTTCCTCATTCTATCCCCGAGCATTGCGCACGGAAGTTTGGGACCTTCGTCGAATCATTCGTGCGTGTTATCGGTGCCACATTGGGATACGCGCTCACAGATATATTACAGAGGAAAAATGTAAAGCTCAATTCTCGGGGCGAATTACACTGGTAAAAACTTAGAACGAAAAAAGGGTCGAATTCATGCGATAAACGCGAGTACTCGCAGAGTTGAGCAGCGGGCAAAAGCGCGATTGTGGGTGTCATTAGGGGGATGAAGTGATATCGAGGACTCACCCAACCGATCCGTATGTACAAAACACACCGCAGTGCTGAGGTAAGTCAAGACAGTGACTGATGGTGGAAGTAACTTCATCGGCATATATATCCTTGGATAGCACCCCGAGTGCTGATACGCCCCCACCAGGGATCAGCCCCGGCGCTCATCCTTCGACCTCCTCCAGATCGAGCCCCCTTTTTTCCTCTGTTCTTCGGGATGCAAGGTGGGGAAGCTCGCGAAACCGCGAATAGCGATGGGATGGATCCTTTCGTGCGGGGCGTCTGTATTTCTAAAAATCGTAGGAGAAATGATTGGATATTGCTCCCACACTGATTTCTTATTTGTTAAATCTTAAGAAATACATATAACGTATGTTGCAACTATAATATAGTTTATTCAGATAATTTTTACGTTAATAATAATTATTTCAAGAGAATAATACAAATCTAAGATATACAATATTTCATACTAATAAACAATTATAAATATTTTTTGTACATATGTTTTAATTTATAATATTATAAAATATTAAACACAATAGTAAATATTGAACACAATAGGTATTTTATATAATCTCCTATGTATGAGAGATCCACAAATAAAGCAGGAACCTTTAAAAGTAAGATGAAGAGGAGTAGCAACTGGACTTTTTCGACTCCGGATGATTACCTAAAGTAAATATCGACAGGTTGGGCCCAAAATAGCGGTAGCGGATCTAGCGCGGGCCCATTACTATCCATAAGCGGTGCGCTATCCGTGGAACGACCTCACGACGTAAGTGACCCGCTGCGGGACCGAAGGAGGCCTCCTCCAGAGGGGGGTCCTGATGGGGGATCTCGCGGAGATGAGCAGCTTGTGGGAGGCCGGGGTTAGTGAAAGTGAAATACTGCAAGTAGAGTAACGTCTACCGAAGTGCTGTGTATTTCGCGTTGCTCTAATCGACGGCGAAGATCGCCTTAGAGAAGAAAGATCGCGAGGATGTCTCTGCATCTCGATCTACTTGTATTTAGATAAAATAGATGTACGCTGCTGCTGCAATTATCCCTTGCTTGTTAAAGTACAAGCAGAATTTATATCATCTTTTTTTAGTAAATATAAATGAACAGAGAACAAACAACAGAAATTATTATTATAAAAAGAACCATTTCTTCTTTTTATTTTTAAAGAATGTTTTTACATAAATTTGTGGCAAAATTACAAAAAACTATTATTTATATCTAATTAATTAATTAATGCAAGGATAAAATCTATATTATTTTATAAATTATATATGCAAATATGTTTTTTAAATATTCTATTATAGATTAATTTGATAAATATTCTATTTTAAATATTCCATTAAATATTCTATTAAATTTAAATATTTATTTATTATTAAATATTTCATAAATATAAAATGTATGTATAAAAAGTTTTATAAATTTTAATAATTTATTATTTATATACAAGGTTTCCAAAATTCGTAT